AGACCCCAGGTCTACTAAAAATAGAAAGAAATTAGCTGGACAGCTAAAAATATATAGAAAAAATTAGCCGGGCATGGTGGCACATGCCTATAGTCCTAGCACTCTGGGAGGCCGAGGCAGGAGGATCGCTCAAGGTCAGGAGTTCGATACCAGCCTGAGCAAGAGGGAGACTCCATCTCTACTAAAAAGAGAAAGAAATTACTTGGACAGCTAAAAATATATAGAAAAAACTAGCCAGCATGGTGGCTCACGCCTGTAGTCCCAGCTACTCGGGAGGCTGAGGCAGGAGGATCACTTGAGCCCAGGAGCTGGAGGTTGCTGTGAGCTGGGCTGACGCCACGGCACTCCAGCCGGGGTGACAGAGTGAGACTCTGTCTGGAAAAAAAATAAAACGAAATGACTTTTAGAATAGAGAACACATGAACAATTACTTTTCATTTGAAATAATCTGTAAGTAACAAAATCTTGTTATTCTGCAGCCAATTAATTGGGCATTTGCAATTGTTCCACAGTGTATTTTGTATGAATTAAGGGTCAAATAACGTAACGAGCAATAATACTCAGAGAGGACAGCGAGAGCTGCGTGTTTAACCAACTCGCTCCTGGTGACATCTGTTTAAGAATTTGCACATCTTCTCGGGTATGTAATCAGACAGGTGACAAGAATCGTTTATAGGTGACTATTAAGTATTAGAAAAGCTCATCACAGCAACAACCACAATAAATAAATGGGATCCGATCAAATTAAAAAGCTTCCGCACAGCCAAGGAAACTGTCACAAGAGCAAACAGACAACCTGCAGCATCAGAGAAACTTTTCCCATGCTACACATCCGATAAAGGGCTGATAACCAGAATCTACTTAGAACTTAGGAAAATCAGCAACAGAAAAGTGAAACAACCCTATCAAAAAGTGGGCAAAGGATGTGAACAGAAAAGAAGACAGGCTAACAGCCAATGAACACATGAAAAAATGCTCAACATCTCTAATCATCAGGGAAATGCAAATCAAAACCACGATGAGATATCACTTATCTCCAGTGAGACTGGCCTTTATCAAAAAGTCCCAAAACACTAAATGTTGGCGTGGATGCGGAGAGACAGGAACACGCATGCACTGCTGGTGGGACTGCAAACTAGTGCAACCTCTGTGGAAAGCAATATGGAGACACCTTAAAGAGATACAATTAGAACTACCATTCGATGCAGCAATCCCATTACTGGGCATCTACCCAAACAAGCAAATGATACTGTATAAGAAAGACACCTGCACCCGAATGTTTACAGCAGCACAATTCACAATGGCAAAGATGTGCAAACAACCCAAGTGTCCATCAAT